AAGTCCCCCATCGGGCGCACTTAAATTTTTTTTTTTTTCTTCTCTTGAGTTAGTCATAGATAAAATTGAATAGCCGGAAAAAGGTAAGGTAGAGTATGGCCTTTGCAGTGCTGTATGGAATATCTAGTAGCATCGCCCGTTGACAAAGCGGGCGCTGTACTGTATGCTATCTCATCGTACAGTACACTGTACGGTACAGTGTACAGTACTACAGTACACAATGAGGTGGCATTGTGTGGTTTGATAAATGGCTGCTGCACAGTGCACACTGTACAGTACTAGTACTAGGCAGGGACTAGACGTGAGTTACTGGCTCTTCATCCAGGGTGGAATACTACTGTAGGGTAGAAGAGTCAAATCATGCATACAGTACTGTAGAAAGGAGGCACGTCGTCTAGTACAGTACAGTACAGTACAGTGTACAGTATGAATTCGGGAGATGAAAAGTGACTGCTTACTGTACACTGTACTGCTTCCAGTAAGGTTCAGTATGAAACCGTGATGAAAAGCAGTGTACTGTATGTACAGTGTACAGTATGAAGTCGGGTGATGAAAAGTGACTGCATATTGTACACTGTACACTGTAGTATACAATGGATGTAGGCAGTATTAGAAGAACTAGTGCAAACTCCCGTCGCTTTACTGACGGTTTACGATAATGTGCTCATTTAACAGAGGTTCAGTAACTATCAGATCGCTGACTAACGAACATTATCCTCTTAGAAATACTTTTTGTAATATGATATATAGCAATCAAAAGTAACCGGGACAGGGGAACTATAGTAGGGTAACACTACGAATTGCAAGAGAGCAATAGAACTAAGAGTACCTACTGATGTGTATCAATCACTTTTCAAATTTCGTTAAGTAACTTTCGTATTAGTATGTTTACCGAATAAGGATACTGGAAAGTGAGTGCATACCGTACAGTACTAGAAGAATAAATACTGTATACTGTACCGTACTGTACATGGTGTAGAATTTCTTCCTAGATAAGTCAGTGAATATTTTTATGATTTATTTTCGAATAAAACCCATAAAACTGTATATCTGCTTAATGGTATCGATTCATACTAAATTTAAATAGAATCGACCAAGTTTTGATCATTTTATCTGTTTTTTTTAAATCTAGATCGAATTTCTACACCCTGTACTGTATGGTGACTGGTTCGTACAGTATGTACAGTACTGTACTGTACTATACTGTACAGTATGAAGTCGGGTGATGAAATTTGAGTGCATACAGTGTACGCTACACTGTACACTGTACAGTACAATGGATGTAGGCAGTACTAGAAGAATAAATATACAGTACAGTACTGCCAATCATGCGTTCATTCAAAGACGTCGCACTATACAGTACAGTATGAAGTCGGGTGATGAAAAGTGATTGCATACTGTACACTGTGCACTGTACAGTAGTGTACTGTACAGTATTGTACAATGGATGTAGGCAGTACTACTGTACACTGTACACCTGTCGAAGGTTCGGTTTGGTGACTGGTTCGTACATGCAATCATGCGTTCATTCAGGGCGTCGTACAGTCTTCAGTATCAAGTCGGGTGATGAAAAGTGAGTGTAGTGTACAATGGACTGTACAGTATGAATGTACAGTATGGTGGCTGACTGACTGACTGGTGCGTACATGCAATCATGCGTTCATTCAAGGACGTCGCACTGTACCGTACTGTATGTACCATACTGTACAGTGTACAGTATGAAGTCGGGTGATGAAAAGTGACTGCATACTGTACACTGTACACTGTACATGCAATCATGCATTCATTCAAGGACGTCGTACAGCCTTCAGTATCAAGTCGGGTGATGAAAAGTGACTGTACACTGTAGTCTACAATGGACGTACTGTAGACAGTACTAGAAGAAATATAGTACTGTATACAGTACAGTACATGCGTTCATTCAAGGACGTTGTACTGTACAATCTTCAGTATCAAGTCGGGTGATGAAAAGTGACTGTACACTGTAGTCTACAATGGACGTACTGTAGACAGTACTAGAAGAAATATACTGTAGTACTGTATACAGTACAGTACAGTACATGCGTTCATTCAAGGACGTTGTACAGTACTGTACAATCTTCAGTATCAAGTCGGGTGATGAAAAGTGACTGTACACTGTAGTCTACAATGGATGTACAGTAGACAGCATTAGAAGAAATATACTGTACTGTACTATACTGTACAGTATGGTGACTGGTTCGTACAGTACAGTACAGTACTGTACATGCGTTCATTCAAGGACGTCGTACTGTACTGTCTTCAGTATCAAGTCGGGTGATGAAAAGTGACTGTACACTGTAGTCTACAATGGATGTAGACAGTACTAGAAGAAATATACTGTACGGAGACTGGTTGGTACTGTACATGCAATGACGCATTCATTACTTAAACAGTACTTGTGCTGCTTAATCGATTGACTGACTATTGGTCGTGAATTGATGACACTTGAGTTCACAGCACGTTACTGACTACTTGCACCACGACGTCGATCATTCCACTGTAAACAATAACATGCCCCTTGTAGTCTGCGGACAAGCAGTCGACGAATTGGCAACTTTTTAAACTACTTATTTTAATGGAGGAATTGTAAGTGCAACACAACAGCCTACCACTGGATTAGAACAGCGGCTGTTGCAAGAGGTAGGAGGCATCATTCAATCATCATCGCTTAATGGTCAATTGAACTTGATGATGATGTTGTAAAATGATTTACTCCATTTGAAATTGGCAATGTCCATCATTACTTTTGCACCATTGTTTATTCCCTCATCTTGCCGTATATAAAGCGTTTCTTTCCATCTTCATTGGAGGTAATCCATGTTGCCCATCAGGAGGATCTTGATTGGATATTGGCGTAGGTACTTTTTGACAAGGTTCTGCTACTCTCTTTCTCTCCTTCTCTGGGTAACATAAACACGAGGTTAAGCCTTGCTATGACACCCTCCATCCTGCAATCAACCTACTCTACTAGAAAAGGAACGATCCAATGTGCAATGCAGTTGAAAAATGCCACTTTTTTTTTTTTATTCCATCAACATGACAGTAGTCTGAGTGCATAGTCGATGTTTCCATCTTTTCCATGCCTTTCTTGACATCATGTGTAGTTTATTTCCTTGCCAATTTCAAAGTACAGGGAAGCGGACTCAGATCATTTTGCAATTGATGTGTGTGTCAACCATACAAGTTTTTATTTCCTAATGTACACAATCGACCAACGGTATCGATGGACAGTCCAAGATGCAGACGCAAATAGTTGTCGTAGGCCACAACGCCTAGGCGTAGTAAGATGGCCATGGCGATTGTGTCAATCCATCCATTTCACATCATGGACGTTGATCGATTCTCGTATACCAGTTGTACATGTATCATGCTAGCAATCAGTGTTGGCAATTTATTTTTGCAGGACGAGCTGCAGACTCTTATTTCCTTGGATTGAATCTGCATGACGTTATCCAATCAATCAATATTCAAGATTACACACTAGTAATTGTGGATAATATTTCCATTCTTTTTCAATCTGATTACTGTAATAGGCCAGCGCTTCAATTGGACAAAATACAAGCGACAACGGAAGTCTTCTTCTTGCCCTTCTCATTGATTGTAAAGTTACACAGAAAGGTCTGTCTTGAAAGAAAAAGTACGTAATATGGATTGTATATATACAGTATACAGTAGATATATACCATTGATTTTCATTCTAGCTATTGCGAACTTTTCTATTTGTTTTGATCAATGTAAGTGCGATTTCATTTCATTGAATACCAAGACTACAACTAGTCCATGTCTGTCTCGCCAGAATGGATACTGTAGATAGACACCATGAAACAGTAGAGTGTACAATGTACACATGCAGACGGATAGGCCGCCGTCCACGCTTTCACTACCGTAGATCATCCAATGATTGATTCTATATATTATCATGAGTACAAGTAGTATTAAAAAGTTGCTGGAATTGTTGACTATCCATTTGTAGGGGCTTCTCAGTCGACTGGC